TTCTTTTTTGATTTCATGCCCATGCCGATCTTGGTCTTGGCTTTCATCGCTGCCCAAACGGCAGCAGCGGCTGCTCTCTCGCTCAGAGCCGAATCTCTTGCGGTGACACGTTTCCGCGCCTCCTTGGCGAGTACTTTGTCTGCCGCGTGTCTATCGGTGAGATCGTTGCTCCGAGAATCTGCTCGCCACGCCGCGTCCAGCGGATTTACGCCCACGTCACCTCTGGCTAATCGCTTCGTAAGCTGAGTGCCCGGGCCGCAAAACTGATAGCCCGGAATATGTAACTCAAAAGGAAGCGCGTTTATCGCTCAATTCAACAGACTGCCGCCCGACGCTGACATTCGTTACAGTCCTTTATCTTAGGACCGTCGATGTGCGTCCTCTGCCACGGCTGATTGTAGTGCTCGTCACAGCGATGATACGTTTGAACCTCCGAATCCGCCTTCACGTATTCCGGAAGCTTGTAGAAACACGTAGTCGATATAGTCACCGTACACGCGTAAGAGTATAACCTTCGGTATATACTGCAGCTGCTCAGCGTTCAAGTTCTGAATGTCGAAAGGATGACACAGCGCGAGATACATTTTGCTACTGCGCGACTCGTAAATTCGCGCGCCTATAAGTCGTTCGAGAGCGCGTAGCCTTAGTGTGAGCACGAAATTCGTGCCGCAACCGTTGTCGATACGCGTCACGAACTGCAACGCGAAATCGCAAATGATGGGAGGCAGCGTGGAGAAGCGCAAGCATGGGGAAATGTTGCCGAGTACTATACGCGCGATCATTTGCGGCCCATCGAATTGTGGTTAAATCAACGTTCTCATAAGCTTACTCGAGAGCCCGAACGGCGTGCGTTTCGAAAACGTGTACGTCTATTCGAAATCGTTGCAACAGCCAAAGTATCGATATCTCGAAAATTTGTTTACATCTATTGACGAAATCGGCTACTTTACGTTCTCCAACAACAGCGACATCGTTCCACCGAGCGAGGCGCGTCCAAATTCTATTTTTATCTTTGATGACGTGGCATGTGACAAGCAGGATGCCTCCGACAACAGCGACATCGTTCCACCGAGCGAGGCGCGTCCAAATTCTATTTTTATCTTTGATGACGTGGCATGTGACAAGCAGGATGCGATGAGAGAATATTTTTCAATGGGTCGCCACGCGAACGTCGACTGCCTCTATCTCTGTCAGACGTACGCGAGGATACCTAAACATCTAATACGTGACAACGCGAACCTGATCCTGTTCAAACAGGACGGTACCAACTTGAAACACGTTTACAACGATCATGTGAATACCGACATGTCGTACGATGAATTTTGCACGTTGTGCCGCGACTG